CTTTGTGAACCACACGTGTCACGAGAGTTTCTCTGTCGAACGGGGCAAATCTCACACTCTAGACTATTAGACTACAACAGGCCTGCTCTTCTTTACAGGTGAGAGATTCTTTTTCTGAAGATCTTTATCTGCCTAATTTACAACTCCTCTGTTCTAGCATCTGTTGCCTGATTTACAACCAAGCTAATAAAACCATAGGAAATGTGCTAATTGTTTCCTGCTTGTCTAGCATTCAGGCTAGTGCCGAGGACTGATCAGCACAAGCCCCACTGGCTCAACAGCATTGGTAACAGGCAATGATGTGTACCTCACTGAGAGAAAGAAGTTGATATTTTGACAAGAGATTATGTTGGGCTAGTGTGATGGAATGTCTAATAGACCTTGGGAATGTGGAGGCTGGAGCACAACTATCACAGGAGGAAGCAGGGCTGTTACACAAAAGATTCCTGAGTTGAGGGTGATTGGGGAGAAATGTGAGAAAGGAACTCAGAGTAACTGTGGTTTAATTATGTAGGTATAAGTTGAACTGGAGAACAGCCTTGACAGGCTTTCAATATTCTGTTATACTACCCTACTAGCAATAAAGATACTTCCAGAAATCCAAGTGGTTCTTGTTTTCTGAGTTTGTCAGTGTCACAGGCTTGATAGCTGGAACTCAGAAGTGAAGTGTGCCTCAAAGGAACTTGATTTCTTTGTTTGTTTCAAGCTGGACACTGCCTGACTCCAATTGACTCAGGGCTGACTACCTGACTCTGACTGCCTTCTTGGAGGACAGAAGATTCTTGAGGGTGAGAAAACAGCATTAGCAAAAGCTTTCTGTTGTGTGGTCAGTCCAAGGCATGATTAGGCAGTAGAATTTGAGGAAAAAACATTAAGTAGAAGACAAATACATGTAATGGTCTACCTCACTATATCTTAATCTTGGGCTGTTCCAAGAAGTATGAATCCAGTGATCAGGACTGTGAAACTTTTAGCCCTGCTTGGAGTTGGGTGGAACTCTTAGAAAGCTTTGAACCCTTAATGTTAAATTTATTCTGTGATAAGAGTGATGTAGCAGAGACCTAAGGAAAATGTGTGACTGGTAATGTATTTGATTGCTCTCTCGAAGAAATAAGAAAGCCACGAGATAATTTGCGAGACATACTAGAAGACAGACTTGAAAGAAGATGTGGGCTGCAAGAGCTTCTGAATCTTCACCCCTAAAGCTTGTATCCAGAGTGAGGCTCACAAATAGGAAGGATGGGACTATTTATTGAACATCTAGCAGCGTTTACAAGTGTTTATGATGTGACACCAAGGCCAAAAAAAAAAAAGATACAGTTCACATCCACCTGAGGGGGGAAGTTTATTCCTGAAAAACTGGAACTTATGCAATGGAGTCTCTTTAGAGTTGTTTGGCTGAAGGCTGGATGTCCAATGGGAAAACAAGATATTGTAACAAACC